ATCCCGGCGTCACCACCTCCGCAGGATCACCGCACCTCAGGAAGCCCCGGCCGGGTAGTACTTGACCCCCCATCCATGCCCGGGGGCCCGTGCCCAGTGTGCCCATCCCTCGAGGGCCGGCCTGAGGCATGTGCCCTGCTGGCCTGGGGCAGGGGGCAAAAAAGGGGCACCCACACATCTGCTCCTAAAAGCCCCTCCGTGTGCCAGCCAGCGTGCAGGGGTGGGTGTGCACATCCCCGTGCGTGCACCAGGGCACGCACACGCACCTCTGCCTGTGCACACGTGTGTGCCGCTCTGCACACGCGCTCCAGAGCCGTACACGCCTGTGTATGTGCACTAACACACGTGTGTGCCCTGCGTGGGTGCCCAAGCAATAACCCCCTGTGCCCGGGCAGTGCCAGGCCCCGTTCCTGGCACGCTCCAGCCCGACATCCTAAATTAAACGCTGCTGCTGCGGTGTTGGTGCCACCAGGTCGTTTTTCTGCGCGCGCCAGAGGAGCATCGGTGCTGCCGTGTGTGCGGGCAGAGGGGGTGCAGATGGTACCCCCCCCAAGTGCTGCTGGGGTGCCTGTGCCTGTGTCGTGGTGTTGGCCCCGTGGGTACCACATGCCGTGGACACCGGGGCTGTTTTCTGGCCGCGTGAGTCACGCTGTGCCCAGCTGCAGTGAGTCACTGTCGGCGGAGCTGGCAGCGGGGCCAAGGACGGAGCGGGCACCGGGGGGGCACGTCGGGGTGTCCCAGCACAAGGCAGGTGTGACGTGTGGGGACACAGTGTGCAGGCACAGCATGGGGCACATGCCGGGCATCGGGACAAGCAGCCCCTCTGGCCCTGTGCCCAGGTGGTCCCATCACCTGTGTGATGAGGTGGGAGGGTCTCAGCTGCATTTCCTGTGGGTGGGGACCCCCCCAGCTGACCCCAGGGATGGTGCAGGATGTGTTGTCCCTGTTCCTGTCCCCTCTGATGGTACCCGGCATGTGGATGGCAGCACCTACAGGTGTGGGTTGGGTAAGGAGCTGCTCGGGTGAGTGTGGGGTGTCTGGAGGGGCTTGACCCGGATCTGGGGTTCCCTGGGATGAGCTCTGGCCCCAGCTCCCTTGCACTGGTGCCTGCGGGTGCGCAGACCCCTGCCCCTTTCCATCCCATCCCTGTGTCCTTCCCCTGAGTGTGTCCTGCCCCGCTTGGTGCCATCCTGGTGCTGCTCCTGGCTGAGCTGCAAGGGCAGAGATCCCCCAGAAGCTTCCCCTGACAGCAGCCTGGGGGTGTGGGGGCTGTGGTGTGTCCCCCTGCTTGGTGGTCTCCAGTGCCCCGAGGACCAGTAGGGCTGGGGTCCTGCTCCTGAGGGTGCTGGCTCTGGCCCCTTCCTGGGGCTGTACCCTGACCCTGGGCATCCTGGCACCATTTCCTTGATAGGCATCAGGGACTCGATGGGCATCAGGGGCACATTGGTGGCTTCAGCTGCCCCACACGAGGCCACCACAGTTGGCTCCTTCCCCGGTTGAGCTGCACCCAGTCACCGAGGGCTCCGTGCCCAGGTCCAGCCTGGCTCTTGCCACCGGCCACCTCCTGCTGGGGTGCAAGTGGCTCACTGGGGGGTTTGGGGTCCAGCCAGGCCCTTTCCTGGGGATTTCGGATGGAATTCACTGCTCCCCACACCCCCCTGGCACCAGGACCTGTGCCCTCCAGCAGATGATCCAGAGGCTCTGCCCAAAGTAGCAGAGCAGGGATGTGCCCAAGCTCCAGCAGGGCCCTGGGGAGCCACTGCCTGTCCCAGGGCACCACGGGGAAGGGCTCCAGGGTGCGGTGGGTGGTGGGGGCAGCCCCCAGACCCCTTTTCTCTCAGGACAGCACTGCACAGCCCTGCTTGGGACAGGGAAGGTGGCAGAGCTGCTGGCACAGAACGGGGTCTGCCCGCGGCACGGCCCTGGGACAAGGGCTGGTGGTGGCAGGACGGACTCTCAGCCCCACGTTCTGCCTCTGCTGTCGGCCCCGTGGGCCACAACTCACCCTCACCCCAGGAAGTGCCCAACCCACTCGTCTGGTTGCCAACAAGCAGGGCAGCCCCAGCACCAAGACAGGGAACGGCGGCTCTTTCCCAGCGTTTCCCTTCCCGTTCCAGAAACCCCGGGAGAGAGGGAGCATGCAGGGAGTCCTGGATGTGGCGTTTTATTGAGCACTCGTGGATGGAAAGCAGTATGTACACAAGGCAGCCACCATTTACTTCTTGGTCTCCTCCTCCTTGGAGAGGGTCTTGATGATCTCCTCCTTCTTGGCTTGCAGGCGTTCCTCGCGGCGCTTCCGGGCCTCCTTGGTCTTGGACCTGCGAGCTTCGGCCTGGTCGCTGCAAGAAGTGAAGAGTTTGTGAACGTGCAGGAATCGCCTCAAACCGCCTCGAGAAAGCCTTTAACGCCGGCCCTGGTCCCCTCTCGCTCCGCAGGACCCTGCTCTGCCAAACCAGCTCACGTGCCACCCACAGCTCTGAACAGCTCCCAGTGGGGTTATCCTGGTCCCGCTCGGCGCCAGGCTCTCGGCTCAGGCCGAGCTGTGATCCCAGCTCCGGGACTGCCCCGCTCGGGCTGGCTGGGGTCACACATCTTTTACGAGAGACCACATTAAGATACAAGCTTTTTTTGTCATCAAACACACAGCAGGATCTTGAAATCCGTTGGCTCTTGCGCCTCCCTTCATCAACCATTTACTGATCCAAGTGGCTGGATCAGTAGATCTACCAGTTTGTGGCTGTATGAGCAACTGGTGGCGATGCCTGCTGTGCGACACACAAAGCTCTGCTGGAGTTATGTGTTTCTCTGCTTCCAGCCAGCCCACCCAGTTTGGGTCTGATGCTTCACCAGGGCTCTGGTTAGAAGCCACCTGGAGAGCGATAAAATAAATCAATCCCACATCCTGCGAGCACTTACGCCAGGAGCTTCTTGCGAGCTTTATCTGCCTTCAGCTTGTGGATGTGCTCCATCAGGATCCGCTTGTTCTTGAACACGTTACCCTTGACCTTCAGGTACAGGCTGTGGTACCTACCGGAGCAGAAAGGAGCGGGCTGTAAGTGAGGCTGCCCGGGAGATGGAACCACTGCGCAGCTTCCAGGCACCCCGCGCCCCTCCCGGCACGGAGCAGCAACGCGCACAAGGGTGCTGCGAGGAGCGGGGTCGCTCTGAAGCTGCTGCACTGGCTCCCCCCCCCCCCCTACCCGACTGGAGAACTGCTGGGCATTACTCTGGAGCAGCTCTCCAGTGCCACGTGTCCTGGAGAGGCTTTATTTTCACCAAGGAGCTGGCTGCAGAAGCTGCATACAGCAAGAAAGGGGCATCGGACACGCTCCCCAAAGCTGGCCGTGGCATGGGAAGCTTACATATGGCGGTCGATCTTCTTGGACTCCCTGTATCTGCGGAGCAGGCGCCGCAGAATGCGCATCCTCCTCATCCAGGTCACCTTCTCGGGCATACGAGCATTGGCTGTACCCTTCCTCTTACCTAGAGAGGGGAAACAGGATGAGGCCAAACTTCTGCAAGTTGAACAAGACGTTTTTGCTGAAGTGTTTAAACCTTCTCCTTCAGTAAGAAAACCGTTAACAGACAAACTGTGTATTTTTAGGTCCTGCCACAAGACTCTTGGTAGGAGCTTCTAGGTGGACACTTCTCCAGCTCTCAGGGGGATGCCAGCACTTACCGATGCCCATGTGCCTGCCCTTCCGGCGGGCCAAGGTGTTCTTTCTGCATCGGGCCCGGGAGTGAACAGTCACAGGCTTGCGGATGATCAGACCATCCTTGATCAGTTTCCTGATCTGCTGACCTATGGAAAGAAACTCCATGTCCAACACCTTACATGCAACGAGGCAACACTCGTGGCAAGCACGCGCTCCCGTCCTGCTTGTACAGAAGGGATCCAACATGGAGGACAAGCCGGACCTTCTGCCAGAGCCCCCTCACGCTGCTGCAGCTGCTTCTCGCCCTCCTTTCTCCGTCGCTGGTTATCTCAGAAGACACCAGGTACCAAACCCACCACCAAGAGCTCACGGGGCACCTTGCCCGGTCACTGCGGAGCTCTG